GTGTTTGTAACCTTAAAGACTGCAAGGGGAATTAAATAGGACTGAAAGAGCAACAGTAAAAATTCCAGGGCCAGGGAGGAGTAAACTTAAATCATTGAATGACAAAATCTTACACATACAATGAGAAATAAGAAATTGTATTGACAAAGAAGAAGGTTTTGGAAGAATCTAAACATCCATATTCCTACTCTATGACCACCGACACTAAGAGATGGTAAAACAAAAGCCCTCGTCCATGCCTGCATTGCTTGATCTTAGTTTGGCCCCCTTCTTTGTCCTATAATCTATCCATTCAGAGGAGATGGCTCAGTGCCTTTCCTTCCTTTTATTCTGGAGAAAACTCATAGCGTGGCCTTCATACAGGAAAATAAGTATTTTTTCAACCTCATGGAAGAAAATACAATGATCTAAGCCTGTTGTAATCAAAATAGGATTGAGTTATGATGTAGTAATAAGCAGTCCCCAAGTTTCAGTAGATTAACACATGAAGTTTATTTCTTGAACACATAGGGCCTATTGTAGGTCAGGTGACCCACCTGTCTTTTGTGATATGACCCAACAATGTAGGCTGCTTCAATCTTGCAGTTCCTCAATTTTAATGTACCACTCCAGGCTCATCATTGAAAGGGAAGGTTGAACAGAGGTATTTCACTGTCAGTCCAGAAGAGACAACTTATTATTTCATTTTTTTCAAGTTTTTATTTAAATTACAGTTAGTTAATATAGAGTATAATATTAGTTTCAGGTGTACAAGACAGTGATTCAGCACTTCCCTACAATACCTGGTGCTCATCACAAGTGCCCTCCTTAATCCCCATCCCCTATGTCACCCATCCCCACACCCATTTCCCCACTGGTAACCATCAGATTGTTCTCTATAGTTAAGAGTCTGTTTCTTTGTTTTCCTCTTTTTTCCCCCCTTATGTTCATTTGTTTTGTTTCTTAAATTCCACAAATGAGTGAAATCATATGGTATTTGTCTTTCTTTGACAGACTTATTTTGCTTAGCATAATACTCTCTACCTCCATCCACATCATTGCAAATGGCAAGATTTCACTCTTTTTTATGGCTGAATAATATTCCACTGTATGTATCTACACCACTTCTTTATCTTTTCATCAGTGGATGGACACTTGGGCTGTTTCCATAATTTGGCTATTGTAGATAATGCTGTTATAAACATCCCTTCGAATTAGTATTTTTGTATCCTTTGAGTAAATACATAGTAGTGCAATTGCTTGATCAGAGGGTAGTTCTATTTTTAACTTTGTGAGGAACTTCCATAGTGTTCTCCAGAGTGGCTCCACCAGTTTTCATTCCCACCAACAGTACAAGAGGGTTCCCCTTTCTCCACATCCTCACCAACACTTGTAGATTCCTGTGTTGTTAAGTTTAGCCATTCTGACTGGTGTGCGGTGATATCTCACTGTAGTTTTGATTTATATTTCCCTGATGATGAGTGATGTTGAGCATCTTTTCATGTGTCTGTTGGTCATCCATATGTTTTCTTTGGAAAAAAAGTCTATTCTTGTCTTCTGCCCATTTTTTAACTGGATTATTTGGTTTTTTTTGTTTTTGTTTTTGTTTTTTTAAGATTTATTTATTTATTCCAGAGAGAGAGAGCACGAGTGGGAGGGGCAGAGGGAGAGGGAGAGAGAATCCCAAGCAGACCCTGAACTGAGCATGGAGCCTGATGCGGGGCTCGATCTCACCACCCTGAGATCACGACCTGAGCCAAAATCAAGAGTCATATGCCTAACTAACTGCACCACCCAGGTGCCCCTGGATTATTTGTTTTTTGAGTGTAGAGTTTTACTTTTTTTAACTTTTTTTAGGGGGTGGTAGGGGCAGAGGGAGAGGGAGAGAGAGAATCTTAAGCAGGCTCCACGCCCTGCACAGAACCCAACACAGGGCTCAATCTCACAACCTTGAGATAATAACCTGAACCCAAATCAAGAGTCGGATGTTTAACCGACAGAGTCACCCAGATGCCCCTTGAGCATTGAGCTTTATAAGACAACTTATTACTTCTGTTCCTGGCCCATTAGCTAGCTGTAGATGCATGGCCTCACTAACTTCAAGGAGCTCAGTGGGGTATTGGTGAACATCGGAAATATCAATGAGGAGTTTTCCATGTGTGATCTTTGATATACTAAGGAAATTTATGAAAATGTCTCCCTCTCTCCAAAGTGATTTTCAAGCCTCTTGTTTTCCTAGGAATGCAAATAAAATTTAATTTGACCTGCCTACCCCCCAAATTAATTTGACCCTTCCTGCTGAGAAATGACAAGTGTTCCTGGTGGGACTAACCTTCCCCTGAGACACTGAAACTCCAGTCCTCCAATAGGCAGGGAATTCCAAGAGCCTAGTTGTAGAATGTACAAACACATGGAAATGTTTCAAAAATATTCCATTTCGTGATATTAAAATGTAATATTAGGCCTTTGTAATACTTGGGAAATAATGTTCATTTTATGAGCAGAAAAAAAGGGCAAAATCATCTAAGTATAGTAAAAAAAAAATCGTATCATTATTAAAAGGAATTAATCTAACTTGCTCATTGCAAAGAAAGAGAAACCCTTATATACAGATAATATATAAGCAAACAAAAATCCTCTTCCATCTCCTGTTGCAAAAACCCATTCAGTGAGTAACTATGAATTAGAAATCAAAACAAAGAGCTGGTATCTATGTATATAGTCAGAATTCTGAGTATGGGGCTTTTGGGTTGACTGTATCTAAATATGTGATACTCTTTGAGGAAGTCAACACGGTTATCTCCTTCTGTTAAAGGCATTATTTAGAAACAATCAGGCAGTAAACTTACAAAATATGCTGGAAGTCTCGATACAAGGAGTGTCATTTAACCTATTTGATGAAGGTTCAGGAAAGCACTTTGAGTGCTGTTAATTTGAAAAACAGTTTGTATACAATGAGCCTCAGTAAGAAGCAGTGTTCACAGATTTACCTATAAAACCATACACCTCTCCCTCTCAAATATTTATCCTGCCAAATTTAATTGGGCCAAAGCAGATAAAACTGTTCAAGCATGGAAACCAGTAATTGTTTGTAATTCATAAAGAGGATTATGCACATGCAATACTTCTAGACAAACTACCTGTCTGTAAAGGAACACAGTTACGACAGAGTGTCCTACAAATTTGTACTTTTCACGTTCTGTCCTGCCAAAGGGAGCACCAAATATGCACTTTTTAATAGTCTACTTCCTTCTAGCAATCAGTGCCCCGGGGGAAGCAGTGATGACAACTCTTGCTTCTGTTCATCAGTACAGTACAGAATTTCAGGGGTCACGTCTCAGCTGTAAGCTCACACAGCAAGTGTCAGATTTAGTTTCTAAAGCTTCATCTGCATGCCTGGCAACTAAATCAGCAAGAGTCATCTCTGCCCTGGTAAAGTTGGAACAAGACATATTTCTAGGTCTTCCATGCTGACAAGTTTCCCAAAGGTATTCACTGGAACAATTGTTGAAATTGTCCTTCCACTGTATGTAGACACAAGCCTAAGATCCAAGCAATAAGACAAGTGGTGTATCTATGAGATTAATCCATTCATGAATTTCCTCTAGTAAATTTGAGCGGGGCATCTGCCAGGTACCACATACTGTTCCTGGGCACATAATGGGATCAAGAGTAAAGACCCCGCCAGTGCAGGCCACAAAACAACAATGTATGCTTTCGACAGTAAACAAATGAGAGTAAATAAGTGATTGTCCAATACTAGTTATTTAGCTAGAAGACTTCTCCGGAACGGTAAGAATAGAAATGCTGTAAATAAAAATAAACAAAGTCAGTTTTGCCATTCCGGGAAATGGACAGTGGGGATATTTGCATATGGCTGCCGTGAAGCCATCTTGGGAGCATTTATTGGTACAGAGAAACTAATGATATCACTGCAACACCATGCCAAGAAATTTCTTCACAAATGTACAATGAGGCTTGCAGTAAATAAGCCATGAAAAGACCATATTTAAGGATGATAGAAAATGCCACAAACTTGAAATGCTTTGGAAGACTGTGGATTTAGGAGGAGGCTTTAGGAGAATTTTCAAGAGCAGTAAACACTGATGCATTCACTACACATCTGCAGGGACTTCATTCCTCCGGACAGAAAAATATGCTTCCCACAAATTGTGACTCTATTATTTCACCATTAACTCTAGAATTTACATAAGTACAGGATCATTGCCCAGATCCAGCACGCAGTTGGCACCATTCCAAACCTTGCAAGTAATTCTCAGGCCACTGAGGGGACCTTAACTCTGAAAGCCTGGAAATTATGCTTAATTAGTTTCCTTTTGTCATCAGTGGACAATAGATGATAAAAGGTAACATTTATACCTGTCAGGGAGAACCCACCCAGGAGCAGGCTTCCTTGGAGTCAGCACTCAGAGAGGCAATCCTTCCGAGAGAGGAGTGATAAACTATTATTTGGTTGGAAGAAGGATATGCATTCATCTCGTGGTCAGCCTGCATGCTTTCCAGATTCATGTATTAATTTGCTTCCCAAATACATGGCTTCATTTCCCCTCATCATCCTCCTGGAGTGACCTTCCCTGAATTCTTGAGTGTGGATTGAGTTTCTCATCTCTTCTTTTTTGCCACATCCGTCCTTTGGCGAATGCTTATTTTTCTGACAGGGGGATTTAAGTTGTCCGCTCAGAGATGTTGTACAGAAATGGGTCTTGTGTCTGTACTGCAATATATTCTTTTGAGTTTGGCTATAAACAGATATGCCCTAAAAATCAAGACAAAAGGGCAGAAGTCATAAGTCAGCTATCCAGCTGTCCCAGGACTCCTGAAAAAGAATCATCCCAAACATGACTACGATATGGAATCTATGAAATGACTGCATTTTCCAGTCTAATTCTTGTTCATTTGGGGGGGATTTTAACCCCCTATATCCAATGAATCTTGTTTACCAAATTAAAGATGTATCTTACGAGCCATTCAAACCTTTTCTTCCTTTTTGTCCTTTCCAGATTTGAGGCCTGGAAGGCATGCTGGATTAGGAGGACCTTCATGAATCTGATGACCATTGGAGCCTTAACAAATCACCATGCCTTTAATGATAAAGTAGGAGAAGGAAGTCTTTAATTGGCTTCCAGTTGCCATCATGAAGATCTCTTATTTACAGGTAGTTCTAAGTGTGCATAGGAAGTGAGATGTGACTGGTCTGTAGTTAATGAAAGGTTTTAATTCCAAAATTACAGAATTCAATAATGTCATGGGGTAAAAATGAGAAAAGGGAAGAAAGCCTTCCCTTTTATCATTCTAAGACATGTCAAAAGATGGGCATGTCTTCCTCTCTGTTTATCTCATCCAGAATAATTTCTACAAACCCTTTCCCTCTCTGTTCTCCCTGACCACCTCTAAAATGTGCTCCGCATACCTAGGAAAAGACATCTATTTTCCAAGTTCCTGTTTTAATGCATAAAACTACATGTTTGATGTTCCCTTCATTTTTATAAGATTTTAGTGATATTCATATTAACTTCCTAACACATCTGTATGATTTTTCAATGGCTGAGATGATCCTAGTAAACCCAACACATTCACAATAAGGACAGTAATTTTAGCTGAGATCAAAGGATACATTTTACATGTCTTGATTAATATGTAGTTGACCAAAGTAGTACATATCCTACTTTTTCAAGGGAATCGAAGATTTCAAGCCTCTTGTATGTATTTTTAAGTAATCTAACCTGCTTGAGGTTTATTTTTTCTTGGTAACCATGTTCTCAGCTCAGTCTGGGATTTTGAACATAAATGATGATTTTTGAGAAAATCATAAGGTGAACCTCTTGGGTAAGAACAGAGGAATCTGCCAAGGATTGAATTGCTAATTGCACCCAATAACACAAAAGTCTCGTATGCCTGGGTTTCTAATGGGTACCCAACACTGTCTCAGTTTTTTCTCCAAATACAATACCAAGGATGGAACATCAATTTCCTATTATGAATGTTGTGGTTGCTGCTGTGCATGCTCTGATCACATCAGGCTTCTAAAGAGGGAAGTGTGAGATGGAGGTTGGAATTTAAATGGTTATATCACCTCCCAACACCAGTCCCTTCATTTTCTGTGGTTGCAGCCCACAACTTGGTACCATCTTTAGGATTTCACTGAGCCTGAGCATCTTCTTCCTCCCTTCCTCCATCCCTGTGCCCCAGATCAACTGATTTTTCTACTGGGGCATTTTTCACTGATACAATGGATATAATTGGGGAGTCTTTGATGGAAGAACTTGAAAGAGTCATTAACTTCATTTTGCTTCATTTGTTTTCCAAGTCAAAGAATCCCAAAGAGAACTATTGTGAAAAATAAGAGCATCTTAATTGACTGCCTTAAAGCTATGCATTTCAGACATCACAGAGGCTGAGCTCTCCCTTGAGGATGGATGGATACGAAAATTCAACTATTATCTAAGGTTGGAGTCTCGTGCCCCCTACCCACCGCCCCAGCCTGTGCTCAGGTCTGCCCTATTCCTCTCACCTCCAATCTTCTGCCTTTGAGCATTGAGTCTTTGCAGTTTAGAACCCTCCCTTTTCCTAGGAATTGAAGATTTCAGGCTTCTCTTGTGAGTATTTTAAAACAATCTTATCTGCTTGAGATTTACTTTTTCTTAGAAATTTTTAGCTTGAGTAGGAGTCAAAGAAGAGTCCACCTAAATAAGTAGTATTTTACCATTTGCTTAATTAACTCATGGCATCTTTTCCATTGGGTTCAAACACAGGTTACACTATTTACCAGCTGGGTGACCTTCAGCAAATTACTTAATTCCTTATTTATATCATAAGGATAGTAATAATACCTACCTCCTAATATTATTATAAAGTTTAAATGAGTTGATAGGTTTAAAGTATTTAAAATGGTGATGGCCATATGGTAAACTCAATATTTGTTAGTGATTGTTATTATTACTAATAGGGCTATCATTTCTAAAGTTCAAGATAAAAGTTGGTTTTCAGGGTACTAGCTTTTTTTGATATTAACAAAAACTATGAACATAGGCTATCTACCTATATGAAAATTAAATATGCACTAATATTTTAATTTGTGTTCAACATTTTTTATAAAAGAAAGAAGATACAAATGAAGTTTTCTAAAGCAAGATCTTAGGCAATGAAACACAAGGCACTTTTATTTGTAGGAAAGGATGACGATAGATTAGTTAGAAAAAATTACACATAAAAAGGGTTTAGTGTAGTTACCAAATGCTTAGGATTGTATGAGATAAGAAAGTTGTGTAGGTTATTAATGCAGAGTTTAGTGTGTGTGTGTGTGTGCACATGCATCAGGTAAGTGTTAGCTAAACACGGGCAAGACAATAACTATTGCCAGGTACTTTCATACTTGATCTTGCTCCACAATGACACTGTGAGATCCTTGGTTATGGATAAAAAATCTAAGGCCTAAATAGGCTAGGTCTTTAAACACAAATCTTCTGAATCTAGTATTCATTACTTTAGATTGAAGTCTGGTGCTCTTTAGACTCTACAATAATTATACCCATATTGGGCACAGGGGAGAGAAAAGAACAAGATAGACATGGTCCCTGCCTTCTTGAAGCTTCCAATTTAACAAAGAAGACAAACTTCAAAAAAGTAATTAGAAGTGTTAAAAAAAAATTAAGAGAACTTCTAGGTAGCTAAAGGCAGTGGTGGCCACAAAGCTATCAGTCTCCCACTATATCTCCCCCAAACAAGATGGGAAATGTAAACCTACACAAAAACCAAGCCTTCAGCATGACTTGAAGACATAAAATGCCAAAGCTTCAAAGAAAGCGTAGATAAAAAAAATAGAAATTTCCAGATCCTAGTGCAGTCTTCCATGCTGCCACCTCCCATGTGCCAGCCACAAGGCAAAAAGAGAAAAACTGTGGGAAAGATAGAAGGAGAAGGCTAGGGAGGGGGCACAGAACTGATCCAACATCAGCCTCAGAAGGATTAAGTCTACCTTAGTCTGAATATTCTAAGAAAGCATCTGAATAGATCAGAGCACGGATTACAAGGGAAGGAATCCAAAAGTCCTTATGGGTTAAGATTGCCCTTAAGGGGGCAATCTTTGAAACACATAGCTTCTAGAAGAGAAACAAAAGCAATAAAAGAGAAACTCCCCTTGGCAATTAGGTGGTGAAAAGGAAAAGAGCTAAAGGGGGAAATGCAGGGTCCTACAGCATAGAAGAAAAATATAAAACCAGAGGACATGTAGCCTTTCTAACCCCTACCCACACAAACAAACAGATCTGCTTAAAGTGTCTGGACTTTGTTATGGAGAGAGAAAGGACATCACTAAACTAGGAATCTTATGAAATACTCCAATACCCCAAAAAATGAACAAAAGGAAAATCAGCAAATCCACCTAGAACTGTTTTAAAAAATCAGAGAACAAAATTTCACCCACATGTGGATAAGTTTCCATAGGAAAAATAACCATATAGCAGAAGAAAATGGTAAGAAAAATATAATTAAACATACATTTGAGAATATGAAAAACCACTGTGTAAGAAATTTAAAAACTAAGAAAGGACGGGTGCGTGGGTGGCTCAGTCAGTTAAGCGTCTAACTCTTAGTTTTGGCTCAGGTCATGATCGCAGGGTAGTGAGATCAAGCCCCATGTTAGGCTCGTGATCGGCAGGGAGTCTGCTTGAGATTCTCTCCCTCTCCTTCTCCCTCTGCCCCTCCCTCCACTTGCTCTCTCTCTCTCTCTCTCCCTAAAATAAATAAATAAATCTTTTTTAAAAACTAAGAAAGGAAAGAATAATAAAAAAAAAAAACCAGGGAGATAAGAAAAGACAGTTGACTTAATTCATGAAAGAATTAAAGAAAAGACAAAATTATCTCAGAAATAACCAATTGTAAGGTACCCAAGGAAGAATAGATTCAAGTGAAATTTAATAAGGGACAATGAAGAAAGACAAGCAAACAACCAAGATAATGATAAGGAGATAAAGAAAGAAGTAAAACTGATCATAGAGAAAGTAGGAAAAATGAATGACAGAAAAAGTGAGAATAATTTTATATTATCAGAGGCTACCTACCACAGTGAGTTAAAC